ATTTACAATGTATATGACCAAGTCTAACTTGCTTAATATGTAAAAATGGATAACACAACAGAAAAATGGGCCAATGACAGGATTAACAAATAGTTCAGAGAAAAGGAATGGCTTGTAAAACATACGAAAAGGTGCTCAGTGATACTCATAAGAGAAATCCCAATTAAAGTTACTAATAACTATCAGAATGCTGAAGATCTAAAAGTGTACTTCTTTTACCCTTAACAATAGAGACATTCTTACTCTTGTTGGAAGAGTACATTGATATTGTCTAATTTTTCTACAGAGGTTTATATTTACCAAAATTCAAAATACAGATTCTCATTAGGCCCGTAATTCTGCTGTATCCGAGGGTTTCTCCACTCACCGTCCTCTTGGACACGCATAAAAGTCAGCAGTTATGTAAGCGTATCCATTATGGCACTATTTGTAATAGCTAGAAATCGGACAGTCTAGGAGACTGGTTGAATCAGTACCTTCCAGCACTGGAGTACTATGTAACTGTTAAAAAGGATGCTGTTTTATATGATGTTATCTCCAAGATGTGTAATTAAAATAAGCAGCAATCATTTTATTTATTAAAAGAGGAGAGGGTTGCTTGTGTGACTGTGTGCTCTTTTATGCATAATAAAACTCTGAATGGGTATATACGAAACTGGCAGTATTGGTGGAGCCTGTGGTGGGAAGGGGACTACCTTTCTTTGGTTTGCCCTTTTATACTGTTTGAGTTTTTTCCATGGACAGATATTAATTTTACTTATTAAAGACAAAATTTAAAATAAATGTTGGAGATTTTTATCTATATAGTAATGAATGAGCATGGAAACATTTGTCAAGTTACTTGTGTTGTGCTCATGGAAAAAATGGTGTTGAGTACTTTCCAAATTTCATTTGTTCGTTACAAATGTTCATGTACTCGTTTCAACTCTATGAAGTAGTTAATATTGTCCGTATTTACTGGTAAAGGCTCAGGTTAAGAAACATGCCCACGGTGACAGGGCTACAAGTGGCACAGCTGGTATGTGAATCTGTGTAAGTGGTGGGGTCATGATGTGTCTACGGGATTTATGTGGCCTTGTCTTAGATGGCACAGCGTGCATCTTACCAATATTGGTGTCATTCTCCTACATGTAGGTACCGATGGGCCTTTATTCCAGAAGCCTCAGATGATTCCGGTTTGGAAGTGAGAAGGCAGGGCATACATCAACGAGAATTTAAACCTTATGTAGTACGACTTGCAAAGCTTCTTCGGAAAAGGGCAAAGGTACTGCATTCTTTTTAAAATTTGTTTTTGTTAAGTGTAAGAAGATAAAATTTGTAAAATATACTTATATCGTATCTTATGTGCATCTTCCACTGTGCGTCAGGCTAATTAATTACAGATCTTTACCCAAGAAAATAGTAGTGAGTTTCTTTACGTTCATCAGTAGGCCTCTGTTACAAACCTTTTGTCATCTTTTCCTTGCATTCAGAAAATTTCAAAAATAAATTGTACAATCTGGGGACGATCTGGGTTGTTTTGCGAGCCCTAGTTTGTAATATGTGCTTTGAGTGCTCAGAAATTTTCCACTCTTCTGGGGTCTCCTATTCAGGCAGCAGCTCCTAAACCACATTCCACACACTCCAGAGATGGAATGGAGGACAGTGTCCTTGAAGGACATGCGGAACTTGATTTCAAATCAAGTTGTTTCTTTAGGGACTAATAAGTAAAAGAAGAGATGAAAGTTGAGTCCAGAGTTTAGGAGAGCACTTGGGTACTTTCATGTTGATATTGCAGGGTTGGAAAAAATAATCATGACAACGAATCCGGAAGCAATGTGATTATAGGCACACGTACTTTGTCATCCCTGCATTTCATTAGTAATGACAGTTTTTATAAAACTCCTCCCTTATCTAAGGAATAAACATGACAGTCTTTTGCACAACACTTGTCCCACAGAATAAAAAAATGTTTTGATTGGAAAGCATTTTCCCATCCAAAACACCTTAAACAAGGTCTTCATGGCCAAGCCCACTTTTCACTGGAGCAAAGGCTATGAGCTCTCCTCTTTCCTTCCACAGGACGAGGAGGACTTTAAGACAGTGACATTGGAGGGACTGGAGATGGCCAAGCATCAGGTGAGGGTGGCTTTTTGATGCTTGTGGTATGGCAGCAAAAGCTGCCACCTCTGGACCAAATCTTGAGACACAAACCCAGGTCTGGCTTTCAACAGGACAAGAGAGGTAAACAGGAAGGAAGTCTTTTAAGTGTAGACTGTTGCAGTGAAAGGAGAAATAGTTCATATGGAAACATGTTTGACTTGTTAATTTTATTATTGAGGAGGTGGTGTAGCTCTGATTAAGAAAAGCAGAAACACTATAAAACAAGTGCACTGTTCTTGGTCAAGAGCTTAGTAAAAGTCCTCTTAAAGGTACATCTTGACAAGAATATAAACAAAAGGTTACATCATAGCTTCCTTACATTTGAAAATCAGCTATGTAGAGGGTTCAAGCGTATTACTCGTTTCCCCTCAGAGTAAATGCATCTCTGTAGACCCTTTCGTGACTATTGAATTGCACTCTGACTCAGGGGACTGACGGTGGAGTGGTCATCAGTCCCGGACCGTCATTAAAGCCAGTGTTATTAGGTGAGAGAAAGGAAAGTGGTTTCGTACTAAGAAATAAACTAATAGCTGTTTTTTCTTTCTCCTTTTTTTTTTTTTAAATTTGGCCATAGATAAAGAACTAGATGATCTTTTTTTCTTGTTTGCTCCTGTAGACTTCTGAGAAAGGAAAACAGATTTAAAACAGGATTTTATTTTAAAATAAGCAAACATTGTAAGCACACACAAGAAAATAAGCTGGATTTTGCATCTGTTTTCTCCACTAGGAAACTAGTGATATTAAAATATTAAGTGAACAATGCAAGTTTCTCAGCAACATCTCATCTTAGAAGGCAAACTCCATTTGTTAACAAATATGACAGACTATAATTCTGCTTCCTAAGTCCCACTTGATAGTTTTTTCTCTCTAGTTCATTGTTTGTCTTCATTATCTTTACTCAGTGTGTTTTCAAATCTATGATTCTGCCCCAGTTCAGACATCTTCAGTTCTCTCAGAACTTTCTCTAGATAGACCGATGTCTACAGCTGTGTGTGTAGTTTAGCTGGCTTCTCAAAGTAGCTACTTGAAGTACGTAAATTGTCGTGTTAATGCAGTTGACAAGAGTTTTCACATACATTCTCTTCATCGCCCCATCTTATAAGTGAGGAACTGTTCTGTACTTGCCCAGGACACCCACAGTAAGCAAGCGGCAGAGCCAGGGCCCTGACTTTGGCGTTATTCTGACTCCAGGTCCAGCTTTGCTCCCATGTGGTTTAGCACAACACAGAAGCGCATGGCAGGGTCTCTCCTGGGAGTTCCTTTCCTTTCTCTGTGCTGATAGTAATGATTCACTGTGGACTCTGCTGCTGTCTTGTGGCAAGTTTAAGCCATTTGGCCACAAGGTAATTGACTGACTTGCTAGTAGTGAAATGTGTAAGACTCTCTGTCCCTTCTTCAGTCATTTTGACCTAGTCCTCGGATACATTGGTGGGGATCCAGAAATCTGGGAGCTTTTTGAGTATATGCAAAGCACAACATGAACTTTTGGATTTGACAGTCCCTATGCAAAACTAATTCAGCTAATAACTAAGCTTACTTGTGCATTCAAGTTGGAAAATATTACTAAAGTGTTAGACCCTCAATGTACAATTAATAATTGGCACCAGAAGGCCTCAGTTAGAAGCAAACATTTTAGCAAGTCTGGAATGGAGACCTAATGTCATCACTTGTATTCATTTCTTAACTCTGTTTGCTGATCCTTATATTCTTTTAAGTTTCCTCACATACTGCATCGTCTGTTGGGAACAATCGCCTTTTTGTTTTCTGCAGAAAAACCCGGAGGAGGACAACTCAGGGAGAGCGCTGGGCTGGGAGCCGGGGCACTTGCTGCTCACCGTCTGTACGGTGCGCAGCCTTGAGCAGCTCCTGCCATTCTTCAACGTGCTCAGCCAAGTCTTCAACAGCAAAGTCACCAGCCGATGCGCAGGACACTCAGGGAGCCCCGTCCTCTACTCAAACACCTTCCCGAGCAAGGACATGAAGCTGGAAAACCACAAACCATTTTCCAGCAAAGCCAGGCAAAAAATAGAAGAGATGGTAGAAAAAGATTTTCTGGAAGGGGTGATAAAAACTTGAGCAACATAGTGGTTCCATTTAGTTTAAATGTAAATGTAATTATTTAAAACAAACATTGCTCTGAGTTGTATAGTTTCTTTTTGTTTTCTTTTTTTTTTTTTTGTATGTAACGAAACACGTTTCAGGTTGTATTTAATTTAAATATTTGTAAATAAGAACGAATGTCTGACTGTGGCCTGAATCAAGTTTAAATATTACGGGCGCATATTGATTATGGTGCCTAAGAGAGATCTATATATACATAAATAGTCCATTATGGTCCATTGTTTTACTGTCCTGAGTTGTCTTAAACCTGCCAAATACACACTGCACATTTTTTCTATTAGTTTCAGGCTTTGTTTAATTTAGATTGGTTGGGGATTTTTTTCTTTACCTTATTAACCCACATTCTAGTATCAGAAAGCCATCACTTCTCTGTCAGAGGCTTGGTAATGTATTACAACTCGTTTCTCCCACATACCTTCTCTCCCATACCTTCACTAAGAGGAGTAATGAATAATTGAAGCCTGGGCCACACATCCTTCCTTGTAAGTGTAGCACGAGCATCTCAACCTCGGTACGGAGTACAGGTGTATACAGCCTCCATAGTCACAACTCTATAAATTCCTGGTGATGTTAACTGAAGAGAGGTAAGTCATCTAAGAATTGTTCTGGAGACTCTGCTATGAAAAAATTGGTTATATGAAGTCTTCTCCAACCTCCTCGCGTTTGTATTAACAATGGTGAGTATTAGTACTGCAAAATGACTGAGGTGACAATGACGGAAAAGACATCATATGGAATTGGTAATAAATAAAGTTTAATTTTCTAGCAGCCTTCATGAATTTTTCCTTGCATATATTATAAAGTTAATGACTGAATCATATACTTAAGCTCCAGTAGTTTACATTAGTGTGATTGATATTAGGGGTAAATTTCAGTTTTTAAAAAAACTAAATTTTAACAAGTATAAGGGCTTACCTATTTCTAAAGAATGATTCTGGTAGTGTTTGTTTAAGAAAAATAATCAGATCTAGAAATAATCCAGTAAGGTACAGACTAAACATTTATGATTATGTGTTTGAGCCTGTCACAATAATGGCAGTACTATTATCCTGTAAAAAGTTTTTAAAAGTCTAGTTTCTAAAAAATATAAAAATTGTCCTCAGAAACCTGGTTGAGGTCTTTCTCCAATCCCTCCAGCCAGCTGAAATACTGCCAAGCTCACTTCATATGCAAGGCTGTCCGCATTTTCCTGCAAATTACATGAAAGGATATTAGATGAGAAAGACACAGCATCTACCAGGTTACTTGCAACTTTAGGGGAGGCAGCTTTCTGATTTTGATTCACTAACCAATATTCAAATGAGAACTTTTTTTCATCTTTCAGTAACAAATTACAAGACCCTCAGATAAATGGAAAACAAGTCACAGTCTTCTAAATCGGGTAAGTTCCTAGTTAACTAATTTTATAAGCTGATTTGATTATCATGCTAAAGCTCTGAATAAATTCAACAGAACCTAGTCCTTAAAGGCAAGAAGGCCACAACCAGCCTAAAGTAACTCTTAAGGCCCCATCCTCATCCACTAGGGATATTTATTCAGTATATTCTGGGACGGCCTAAGCTTCTGCAGAAAAGCTGCTGTATAAGTTAACGGTATATATCTCCTTCTGAGAGCTATTTACCTAGTCACCCCACTCTAACTGCCTCAGCTGAGCAAACACTTTTAAGTCTTTGACCCTATCAAGAAAACAGAGGCACAGAGCAAGGCTGTCATTTAAAGGAAATATTTTGAAAAACAAATTGAAGAGTCCAGAGACAAAGATGAATTTCAAGCAGTATGGATGACGGTACCAGTTGATTTAGAAATGGACTTGAACTAACCAGCTATTTTCATAAAGCAACAGGATGTTTTTTAAATGAAGGAAAAAGGTATAATCCACTTCAGGATGCATATGCTTAATATGTGTCAAACTAAGTACGGTTTAGTACACTAAGTATTTATTAGTTATTCATGCAGCAGTTAGAAATATGACACTTTCAGGAAATTAGAATAAATTATAAGAAAAATATGTGGGGGAATTCTGTTCAACTGTGTAACTACTACTGATGAAAATAACCTAAAAGCCTCCATAAATCTCACACATTAGAGATTCCAACACCATTAAAATAGTTTTCTCTCCTGCTGCCTGCCCTCCTCCACCTATGTTAGACTCTCACTGCACATTCCTCCAATAGAATTGTCCCAGCTTACCTGCGAGTCCGCTTCTGCATAGACTCGGACTATGTCTTCGGTACCAGAGGGCCGGACAAAAGCTCGAGAAAGCCTGTACTTCCTCACCAGCTCATTGATGGCTTCCTGGAGTCCTGGAGGTTTAACTGCTTGTCTTTCGGCATCTGTGGTGCTAATAACTTGCCTGTCTGCAACCTAAGCACAAGCATTTCTCATTTGTTACCATATCACACTCCCTTTCACAAGCTTAACCCATTCAACCTAATTCCCACCAAAAGATTATGGCCATTTCATGTCAACAGGAACAGGCCCACATTTCAGCTTACTGTACCACAAAGAGTACAGCACTGAGATTTCCACACTGTATTACAGTTATTACTAAAACAATGGCCAGTAAGTACTGTATGACTTAATCATTGATCAAATAATCTTAGGTATTTAAAAAAAGAGGGTCATAAGAATCTCCGGAAAAAACTGATCTGAACAATCGGCAGCCGTTTCTGTGAGCTCTGGCTTCCATATCTCTGTCTTTCAAAAATTCTGTTGGTGAATGTGTAATCTGGTATAAATCTGTATAGAAATCAACCAGCAATTTATCTGAAATGCCTTTAAAAATTCTCTTTCAGCCCACAGATTCTACTTGTCAGCATCTAGCCTCTGGAAGTACTCTGTAAACCAAGAATAATGCAGAGGAAATATTTACAGTTCACTCAACAGGCTATCCAGAACTCGCTTCAAAATAATATTAGGGACATGGAGGGCACTTGTTGAAATCTGTTCTCTCTACACAATGTATCTTTTAAATTTTTTATAATAAAATCTTTTAAAGTGATACATAATATCATTTATACTAAAGTTAGAAACCAGATACTTCTAAATAACAATAGAATGGTTAAGAGCGATTCTGTAATTTTTAAAGATGTGAGAAAATAGTCTTTTCTATGCAATATCTATTTACAGAATGCAATTGTTTTAGTTAATTTTCAGAAAAGAAGTAATTTTAAAATCTCGCTCACACCTTAACTTTGAGCTGTCTGTTTGGAAGATCTGTATAGAGGGCGTCCCACTGCTGTACGGTCAAGCCCTTCAGAGCCAAGATTGCCTCAATCACCAGCATGTCAGAAATAGCATCACCAGTTGCCTGCAAGATGCAGAAGCAGAATACAAGCAGAGCGTGGATATGAATGCTTCTGTCTCAGAAAACCAATCGCCATGTCCTGGCTGCCCTCCCCACCCCACCCCCGCCCCCAATGCAGGTAACTGACGGGGGTAAATACAAACTACAACGAGGGAAAAAGGTATCCATGGAAGACAGCAGTAACAGGTCTACCAAGAATACTGAGACGAGCCTGCCTTTAATCTTCCTGCTTATCTGTGAAGTGTAACGAACTCTTAAGGTTCCAGCATTAACACTGTATGACTCAAAATTTTACTTACAACTAGATCCCTTTTGAGATACTATTGCCACGATGATGGAAGGCCTCATGCATGGTAAAGTGGAGAAATAGGAGCTTTGGTGGTAAGATACACCTAAAGTTGGATCCATACTGTGCCACTGAGTCGCTCTAAGTAAGTCTTTGTTTCTTCATTTATAAAACAGGAATTATAGTGACCCCTCTCCCTCTGTTACTGCAAGGATTACACAGTGAGGTATGGAAAGTGCCCAATATGTGCAGGACCCTCAAATATTAGTTCTTTTGCTTTCCGCTGACCTACACTTTGCTCTTCCATTGCCATATTCTCCACTCCAATCCAATAATCTGACCCACACATGTGCCTTGTCAGAGACTATTTTTCCTGAATTCCCTTGAGAAGGCTGGTTTCAAAACATATGCTTAGATACATTTAGTAGCTCAATCTGTTGACTCCAGCTATAAGCTACTCATTACTTGAAAATATGAAGCACATAAACATTGTCACTGCATTTCAGTATAAATCTAAATTGTTGCAAGGAAGCCACCACAACTTCTCCACTCTGATGTTTTATACAGCACGTTATTCTGTCCACCTTCTGAATAATGTAAAAGTAACCAAGAGTCCACCACCCCCTCGGTTCTGACCTGGTTAAACAAGTCAATCACGTTTTCAAGCATCTTAGCAGCTTTCCTTTTCTTATTTTCTTCTAATTCTTTTGCTAGTTGTTTTATCTTCATTTCAGCAGCTTTACTAAATAGAACCTACAATCAAAGCATAACAAAAATCAGAAAACACTATCCATGCCCCAGTCTTACGTACCATCATCCCAACTAAACTGCTTTTGAAACTCTCCATGACTCTGGAGAAACTGAGGGGAAAATGGCAGCCTTAGAATATATGAAATTAGTATAAAAGACCAAATCAGAACTCAGAAGATATTACAAGGGGGGTGGGGGGGAGTTCCTTCATGGATTATAAAACTGGGTTATCAAAATGTAAAGATTACAAATAAAATATCCCATTGGCAAAGGAGAATGCACATGGTGAGTTTATGATGTTGCCCTCAGCCAGCTGAACCAGTGCTGGGCAACCAGGGTTCCTTAAGCCTTATCTGTATCCATTTTACTTTGAAGAATATAACTCACTGCAATTAGTACAGTTTTCTTGTCCTAAGTTTTTAAGGACATAAACTAAGCAAAAGTAGAAAAGAGGTTCATCTTATATATTACATCATGGCAAGCAGTGCCATGGATGTTTAGTATAATAAACATCACGTTGCTCAGGATTCCTGCCCTTCTGACTTGCCTCGCCCATGCATGATTTCAGTGCCTTCGGAGGCCCAACACTAAAGAGGAAAAGCTGCACTACATTCAGCCACTTGATGATATACAAAGAAGTTTGCTGGTAAACTAAGACGCACACTGGTCACCTGTTTTGTGGAACCACGGCCATTTCCATTCATTTACCCTCCACCAGGAGACCTGAGCAGATGCGACATACCTTATGGCCTGTGAAGACTAAAATATTTACTATCTGCCCTTCAAAATAATTTACCAACCCCTGCATTAGATCACTGAAGTTATATTTTAATTGCATTTTCTAGGAACTCGTTTTTCTTCTCATATTCATGACCTCTAGAAGCCAATTTTGAATTAATGAAAATTATTTGACCTAGATAAAATTTTCTGTTAGCCACTTCAAGTCCATTTATGAAATGAGGCTATGTATAAAAAATTTAATAAAGAAATATTCTGAACGTTATGAATATGCTAAAGACCTGTTAATATACGTTAAAATAGTGAATGTTATGATACGCAAATTGTATCTCAAACCTTTAAAATTTTCTCTGCTAAGAGCCATAAAAAACTTTATATGCCAATTCTAATTACTTTAAACTCATTTTTAGTTGCTAGTAACTTAACTCTCAACCTTTCCAACACTTTTCAATTCACCACAGCTACTGAACTTTCCTTTTGCCACGTATGGCCAGTTGAAGGAAAATATTTTAAATGGGATGTATAGACCGTCTGGTTGTAGGAAAATTAAGAACTGCCATGTTTCTGAAAAAACTATATTATAGGGACAAATTAGTATTCTCTCTTCACACTCGAAGATCATTATAACCTAAAAGAGCCATAGTTTCACAGAACATAATAATATATTAACTAAATCTTATTCTATCACCATCCCAATCATTTCAACAAAGTGGAATGTTACCTATTACTACCCAGATACAGAATTCCATCACTGGAGAGAGGCGCCAGCTAAAGCCAGATGCCACTGCTTACGAGAACTTACTGTGCCATGCCCGTTTGCTTCAAAATAAACTCCAATGTCAAATTCCTGAGCCTTGTGATGCAGGTGTTTTACACCAGTTTTAGTACAATAGACAGGTACCTGTAACACACATGTTTAAAGAAACAACAGCAGTTATTCAATCAGCAGATATTCACTGTGCACCTCTCATCCCAGGGAACAAAGCTTAGTCTAGTGAGGAAGACAGCTAAGCAACTGAAATACTAAGTGTTAAGTGTCACTGCGGGGGAGTGAGAAAAGCAGGGTGAGAGTGTGAGAGGTCCCTTACAAGATAATGAAAGATCCCAAGTTGGGGAGTGACATGATGTAATTGTTTCTGAAAGCTCCGTGTAGCTACAGTGTGGAGAATGGCTTAGAGCGGGGGGTCTGCAAGCTTTTACTATAAAGAGCCAGATAACTAATATTTCAGGCTTTGCAGGCCATGTGGTCTCTGTCACAATCGCTCGATTCTGCCACTGTAGTGCGAAAGCAGCCACGGACCATACAAAAACAAACGAGCACGGCTATATTTCAATAACACTACAAACAGCTGGCCAGCTGGACGTCGCCCACAGGCCACTGTCTGCTAAGCCCTGGCTCAGGTTAGGTGGTTTCTAGGGCTAATCCCAGTAAGAAATCACGGTGGTTGGGACAGGAACAGTGGGTAGCGAAAGCCTTGGATGGATCTGCGAGACAAGCATGGCTAAGGAAAGACGGCAGCAAAACTGCAAAAGAGAGCAAGCTCCAATGAGCCTAGCATTTAACTGGATTCAGGGGACCTCAGGAATGGCTAGTGCTGAAAATATTTAACCCATAAGAGAATGTGTTGAGAAGGAGTAGCTTCTGATGTTGTTTCTTCAACAGGGCATTTTACTATAAGGAAGTTTTGAGACAGAAATTAAGAAAATACTCATAACCCTAACACAGAATCCCTATGAAAGGCAGGCAACTGGGCCCCAGCTGGCGTCCCTTGAGTAAGTTTACTGTGACCATATATTTAAATCAGGGCACAGACTAGCAGCCTCCAGGTGTGTTTTATTTGGACTACCCACTGTTTCTTTTAAATTCTGACTCAGCTGCCAAGACTTAAAAGGCAGGCAATTCACACAAGAATTCAGACTTCCAGCTTCTCCTGAAGATTGCCCAGAGGGGGCAGCAGCTGGCCTGGCACACCTTCCTAGTCCTCGCCTGCCTGCTGGCTTCGTTCACTGCCCCCATCCAGATCCTAAAGGAACCTGACTTTGTCACTCCTGCTTTAACAACAATAGAATGGCCACAAAAACTACTAAAATGCAGACATTTGAAAATGGATACACAAATGCTGGAAAATATTACACTAGCCAGGGAAAAAAAGAATAAAGGCAAAAAGACCCAACTTGGGCCCTGCAGCCTCTAACTCTTAAAGCGGGTAGCATGGTACAGAGGCTAGTCACCTACCTGGTGGATGCTGGGGAAAAAATCAGAAACAAAATCTCCCACCAATCCAGAAAACATCTCCACAGAAGAAGAATAAGACAGGCTTTATTACTGCGTAAGCGTTAAGCCAGACTGTGATGCACATCTCAGGCAATCTGCTAAGAGACGGCGAGACAGGAAGAAATCCCACCCTTTTGCAGAGCTAAAGATAGCTAGTGACCAAGATCTCTCCTCAACCGAACGTGAGGGAGGCTCCTTTGAGCCTGAATAGGTCCTGTCCTTGGCCGTGTCTGCAAGAGCCCAATTTTATCAGGAATCTTTTGCTAACTCACTTCAGCCAGAATCCCCCACCCTCAATATCTGACCAAAGTCCCTACCCGGTAGCATCTGATCACCCAGGCCTGCCTTCAGCAAATCAACTGTTAGGTTGGTTTAGCCAGAATCCCCCCTAGCCGCCCCCGTCCCTCTTCGTACTTTCCCATGCACCAACCCCTCCCTCACACCTTATTCCTTGGCTACAAAATCCCCACTTTTCCTTGCTGTGTTAGGAGATGAGCCCAGTCTCTGTTCCCCGCTACAAAACCCCACGGCGATATATCTATTGAATAAGCCTACTTCTTAGGAAGACGTCACAGTACCTTCTGTCACACGGAGTTTGTCCTAAATCTACCCGATAAGTGGAGTGGCCACTGGTGTCAGCTAACTGCCCTTCTGCAAAGGAATAATACAACTTCTCATCTCTCTCTGTCAAGAAGATAGGTGTCTGGCTCTAAGTGGTAGCTAGGTGAAACTCTCAGGAGGCTGAGGCATGGGATGCTATCTTCCTTGACGTTTATATTTCAAAGAGGTGACTCCAGGCCCTTATGATAAACACTTCTGAACTGTAAAACTGGCCTATTTCACCTAAAAAGGTTGATATTAATTTCAAAAGGACAGAGAAAAAAATTGTAAGTTTTCTAAAAGAAGTACTCTCAGAAAAAAGAGGAAGGAAAGTCTCTTTCCCTTTTTGCATTAGGGACAATTGAACTTTTTCTTATTTTTGATTTCTATTTATCCTTAAGTAGACAACAGCTCAGCTTCGTGCACTTCAACCTATTTATTTTTGTGAGGGCATTATTTTCCTCACAGAAGCATCTTACAATAGAAGATAATGATGAAGAAGCTACCAGAAAATGGAAATGTTTCAATACCTTCATAACTTCTTCCAGGTAGCGTGTTGAACTTCCATTGGCATATGCAGTTTGTACGACACCAAGACTCAAACTGTCTCCAATCTGGACAAAAACAAGGACAATTACCTTGCCATCAAAAGTAAAGACCCTACAAAAGCAAACCTATAATCAGAGTTCTAAAGGATGACAAAATTATCAGCCAGATCAGCTATGCCTTAGTTTTATGCAATAAACAACTCACCAAAAATTTACATGTATGCCAGAAAAAAAGATAAAATACTTTTGAGCATTATTTAAAGCAACTGTACAAGGAATCCTTTTATTTTTTTTTTTAAATCACCTGATTTCGTTTCTGTTACTCCACGGTTTGTATCAGGATTCACCCTTAGTGCTGTATATTCTGCGGGCTTGGACAAATGTATAAGGACACGTCTCCCTCTTTACAGTATCATATACAGTGTTTTCGGCCCTAAAAAGCCTCGTGCTCCACCTATTCATCCCTCAGCACCCACTTCCCCCCAGCCCCTTGCAACCACTGATCTTTTAACTGTCTCCACGGTCTCTGCGGGATTTTTTTGCAGAATATCATATAGTTGGACTCATGCTAAAATACACAGCCTTCTCAGATTGGCTTCCTTCACTTAGTAACATGCGTTCAAATTTCCTCCACGTCTTTTCATGGCTTGATACATCTTTTTTTTTTCTTTTTTCCTTCACTGCTGAATAATATTCCATTGTCTGGATGGACCACAGTTTATTCGCCTATGAAGGACATCTTGTTTGCTAAGGAATCCTTTTCAAAGAAACCTGTGGTTTCTTGATCTCTTTTTCTTTCGTTTTTAATAAAAGTATACACTGAATTCCTAAAGTACACATTTTCCCGATTGTGATAATTATCATTACATTTTATACTTACAGCTAACCTGAGATTTCCAAAAGAGCATAACAAAATAAATCTCACGTTACTAAGCTTATCATAATCGTAGTAAATAAATCCCTCAGAGGAGGAGATTTGCTATTTAAACTTGAGGCTCTGGGGAATGATGTTCGTGGAACCCTCATTAAAATGTCAGTTATGAAGAAACCAAAACTTCGTAAAGCTGCAAATCATGAAACTTTTTGCCAGTATGAAAAAGAAAAGACTGGGCTTCCCTGGTGGCGCAGTGGTTAAGAATCCGCCTGCCAATGCAGGGGACACAGGTTCGAGCCCTGGTCCGGGAAGATCCCACATGCCGCAGAGCAACTAAACCCACGTGCCACAACTACTGAACCTGCGCTCTAGAGCCCTGGAGCCACAACTACTGAGCCCGTGTGCCACAACTACTGAAGCCCGCACGCCTAGAGCCTGTGCTCTGCACGCAACGAGAAGCCACCGCAATGAGAAGCCTGCGCACTGCAACGAAGAGTAGCCCCCGCTCACCGCAACTAGAGAAAGCCCACGTGCAGCAACAAAGATCCAATGCAGCCAAAATAAATAAATAAAATTTTTTTTAAAAAAAGAAAAGACTACTCTCTTCAGGTTCCAAACCAGAGCCCCAGTGTTGAAATGACTGGAATGACCACTTCTCTGTGTTTTCTGGCCACTTCCCACCATCATGCCTCAGACATTCAAATGACTGCCTGATACAGAACAATCTCCCCAGTGAGTCTTGCTTGAAAGGGCAGTCCATCCCCGCACCATACCTCCAACAGGGGTTCCTTAAGGAAACTGCTAATGAGTGCTGCTATCTTGTCTCCGTCCACGAGATGAAACTGACCATCTGCATCATGGTAGTAGTAAATTATTCTGTCTGCATCTCCATCGAAGGAACAGCATCTTTCATTGGACTTCATTTCGATTCCTGCCACACAGAATAATTCAAAATGAATAATTCAAATTAATTGAATAATTCAAAATAATTCAAATTTCTTCAGTCTAAGAAAGGGGGATAAAATTCAGTGTAAAAAGTTTTCGGTTTTTCTCTCACACCAGTTACAAGGGAAAATTCTTGCGGTTAAGTATTGATCGTAAGTGACCTTCTGTGTTACATGGAAGCACGTCTACTACGACTTTTCAAGAGGTGTTTAAAATTATCCTTCCAGGGCTTAAGCAAAATTAAACACGTGCTAGGCAAATAGAGCCTGTCCTCAAGATTTACAAAAATCAAATGTCAGTTGAACAAAGTTTCTCCCAATTTGTAAACTGAAGCCCAGCTGAAAGGAATAAATGTCTTTATAACTGCAGATAAAGAACCGTTACTATCCTTACATGATCAAGCAGCTGGTACAATCAAATATAAATAATTGGAGTGTTTTGTCATTGAGGAGAATCCTGATCATTTCTCCTGTCTGAAGCGCTACATAAACATATGTAATTGTTTCTGTACCTGAATGGAGATAATAGCTTCAAAATCAAGGGAAGAGGATTCATTTAAATGGAAAGGAAACAACATAAAAATAATTATCCTTCCAAACAAAAACCAGTGTCGTAAGCTTTAAATAGTATACAGGTTTACTGTATACAGGGCAAACTCTTTCACAGCTAAGTGAAAAAAGAGCATTCACAATCTATCTAAGCTGAAACCCGATACGATACTAAAATAAAATTCCATTTTACAAGCCAGAGGTCTGGCAATACTGATTCCCACATAGTGTTTTGAGAGCTACACGTACTGAATTGAATGCAATTTCCCTAGCACCACAATGTCCTTTCTCATACAAAAAATAACCAGCAGTAGATGAGGTATGTGCTTGAATCCTGAAAAAAGTGATTTTTATTTGTTAACACCATCAATAACAAGAAACACTGGTCACTAAGAGCAAAGGATTATAACCTGTGAGAGACCAATGGCTTGTGTAACTTGTGTAAAGTTACTGAAACCTCAACAGCTGTGTCACAGCAAATCTTAGACAATGTGGCTGTTCCTTTGCCATGACAGCAGCCGATGGACAAACCCACCCCAGACCTACAGAGACTGAAACCCTCGGACAGAGCCCAGGAATCCGTGTGCGGACCAGCCCTCCAGGTGACTCTGATGCCTGCTGAAGCTTGAGGGCACGGCTCTACAATCCCACCTTGATTTTGCTTTCTCCACCGGATTTCCTGCGCCCCGTGAGGAGTGCTGTGACTTGCAGGCAGAGAGCAGCCTGTGCCCCACGTGGTACCGAAGAGCGGGAAGAGGCCCGGATGTGTAACGGCGGCAGGGCCAGGACCAGCTCACCTGGCCAGCTCTGTTTGTGAGACTGGTTTCAGGGAGAGCGCGAAAAACACATCTTTCACATACCCTGAGGAGGTTTCTGATGACTTTTCACAAAGTCAGCCCCACATAAATGATTGAGCTTCCCTTTGGTCCCATCGTTAAACAGCTGCACTGACAGCCCCTGGGAGAAGTAGTGTTTCATTTCTCTCAGCTTCAGGGCCCCTATGCCGTTCGCACAGTCAACCTTAAGTGTTCTTTGGCCATCTCCACTGCAGGAGGCCTGAAAAGGAAAAGACATACGCAAGAAAAATTTCAAGTTGTAACAGTGAAGCATGGCATATACATGTATATATAAACATCTTCCATTATTTCAGTTATAACTCGTCTGTTTTAACCCAGGAAACAAAAGGGTACACGCATTCAGATGAAAATTGTAAAACACCAAAGTAAAATGTTAAAACACCTTTTTTCGGACACAGACACTGGAACAGTTGCGTTGACTGAATAAATGATGGAAATGAAGCTGTATTAGAATTTAGCCTCCATGAAGCAAGGTCTCTTACAATATTATAGTCTGTATTACACGGCAGGCATTCAAATACGGGCATGAGTACACAGATGAGTAAGCAGTCATAACATCCGTCCTTCTCTTCAGAGCATATTACACCACCGGGCATGTCTGGCTTTTTTCCTGTCAGTCTCCTCTCCTACCCATCTCACCCCAGAATGTAAGTTCTCTGAGAGCAAAGGCTTGGTTTTGTTTAACTATGCCTGACAATGACATACATCGATATTTGCCAATCAAATGAATTACACCCCTCAAATCTTGTTCAGGTTTAGGAAGCTAATTCACCTCGAAGAAAGGCTTTCTCAACAGTAGGTGCCTCAAGTATGACACCAACAGCACCTGCAGTAACTCTAAGACCAAATTCCTCTGAATGAACACAACGATAACTGCAAGTACACCACTCTTCTCCCCCGGGGAGCTCAGAACATATTACACGCCTTGCCGAGTAAATGCCAACAAAGAGTTAGCAGGATACGAGGCCCAGACCTTGCAGAGCGCTAAAAAGAAAAAGAAGACACGCCACATTTTTGGAAGAGGAGGAGGGGTAACAAATATCTAATTAAAATAAACTGTTCAACTGATGTTATTTTGGTCATCTGCTTAAACTCTAACCACGTTCAAGAGATTTTCACCTGTTTGGTAAGTTCCACAAAGGCTGCAGAGAGTTTCTGGTAGTAACCTTCTGTGGTTGCCTTTCCATACTGGCCACTGGTGTTTCGACAGTACACCATGTAGTGCAGCTGGGGCGTCGTCAACAAGCCATAATCTGTCACAGAAATACAAAAAGCAATTTACCACATTCCTTAAGAAAGAAGAAAAGTTTAGGACTCATACTGTGTGAATTTCAGGGTGACAAATCCTCTTCAAAAAAAGACATCTCGGGCGTCCCTGGTGGCGCAGTGATTGGGAGTCCGCCTGCCGATGCAGGGGACACGGGTTCGTGCCCCGGTCCGGGAGGATCCCACATGCCGCGGAGCGGCTGGGCCCGTGAGCCATGGCCGCTGGGCCTGGGCGTCTGGAGCCTGTGCTCCGCAACGGGAGAGGCCACAACAGTGAGAGGCACGCGTACCGCAAAAAAAAAAAAATAAATAAATAAATAAGACATCTCAGAAAACACAAGAAACACTAACTTTGAAAACTACCCCGAAATATGCATAAACATCCACTGAAATCATTATAACTACATGTCACACTGTGATATCATGATTTATAATAAGAAATATACATTTGGTCTGTGTCCCCATTTCTGGCACAGCCTCTAAACCCTCTTTTCTTATGTTAATGGGGTGACTTTTGGACAGCCCTCAGACACTTTAGGATGGGGCCGGCTGCCAGGGAACCAACCACAGGATTAGAGAGCTGAAACTTTCAGTCGTCCCCATCTCCTCCCTAACTCCAGGGAGGGGAGGACGGAGCAGCAAGAGACCGAGTTCAAACACCAATGGCCAGCGATCTCATCAATGATGCCTATGTAACGAGGCCTCCACAAAAACCCTGAAGGATGGGGTTCCAGGTTTGGTGGGCAAGTGGAGATTGGGGACAGTGGCCTGCCCAGAGAGCACGGACACTCCACGCCCCTTCCCATATAAATCTCTACCATCTGGCTGTTCCTGGGTTATACCCTTTATAATAAACGTGTAATCTAGTAAGTAAAACATTTCCTCCCTGAGTTCTATGAGCCTATCTAAGCAAATTAATCGACCCCAAGGAGAGGGCTGTCAGAAGCCCAGGTGATAAATTAATTAATTAATTAAAAAAGAAGCCCAGGGGCTTCCCTGGTGGCGCAGTGGTTGAGAGCCTGCCTACCGATGCAGGGGACACGGGTTTGTGCCCCGGTCCAGGAAGATCCCACATGCCGCGGAGCGGCTGGGCCCGTGAGCCATGGCCGCTGAGCCTGTGCGACCGGAGCCTGTGCTCCGCAACAGGAGAGGCCACAACAGTGAGAGGCCCGCGTACGGCAAAAAAAAAAAAAAAAAGAAGCCCAGGTGACTGGCATCTGAAGAGGGGAGGGGCAAGGCTTGTGGCACTGAGCCTTTAACCTGTGGGATGTGACCCTAATTCCAGGTAGATAGTGTCAGAATTAATTGGTAGTGGAAAAGGCACACATTGGATACATACTTGGTTCTAAAAAAAATATGAACTACTACTGATAGCAAAAACCAATCATTTAGTATAGACGGGTAGCAGTATAAAAATAGAGCAACGTAGAAAAGTAATAACTGAGTTCTATTTCCAGTAACATTACAAACTATGTAATTCAGATGAACCCTCCTCCCGAAGACAACCAAAAATGCTGAATAAGAGAAAAATCTCTTTTTAAAAAGAATTACAGTACCAACATTACAAAGGAATTAGGCCAAAATTTACATGAAGAGAGAACTCCAGGATGTGAGCTAAGGGAAGCCAGTTTTGCTCTGAGGACATTCCTCTAAATAAGAAGTTGAGCAATGGTTCTCAGTGCAAACAGTCCATGCTGGTCTAAGATGTGCAACTGGGGGAACAGGCGCTCGTGAGGCTGAAGCCCCAAAGGACTATTCTTCAAACCATAATTCGAAAAGATACAAGCACTCCAATGTTCACCACAGTACTATTTACAGTAGCCAAGACATGGAAGCAACCTAAATGTCCATCGACAGATGAATGGATAAAGAAGACGTGGCACATAAAGACAATGGAATACTACTCGGCCAGAAAAAAGAATGAAACAATGCCATTTGCAGCAAAGTGGATGGACCTGGAGATTATCATACTAAATGATTAAGTCAGAGAAAAGCAAATATCATATGATATCACTTACATGTGGAATCTAAAACAAAAAAAACAAATGAACTTATTTACAAAACAGAATAGACTCACAGACTTAGAAAACAAACTTATGGTTACCAAAGGGGAAACGTGGTGGGGAGGGGTAAATTAGCAGTTTGGGATTAACATACACATACTATTCAATACTATATATAAAGCAGATAATCAAAAAGGACCTACTGTATAGCACAGGGAACTCTACTCAATATTCTGTAATAACCTACGTGGGAAAAGAATCTGAAAAAGAATGGATATATGTATACGTGTAACTGAATAACGTTGCTGTGTACCTGAAACTAACACAACATTGTAAATCAACTATACTCCAATAAAAAATAAAAATTAAAAAAAAAAAAAAAAGGACTACTCTTCGGTGCAAGAGTGGGTTAGAAGTGAATCAGCCCCCAGGGCCTACTCCCCAGAAAGCTGTCTTGGCGCCGAGCAGAGTGGGAAGCCCACCCCGAAGAGCTGTCACCACAAACACAGGCCTCCCACAGACACCCAGTTCAAATTCACGTAAACACGGGATCAGAAGAGCCCTGGCATCAAAGAACCTTGTCACCCACCAGCCAGGCAGTACCCCCAGGCCCCAGCAGAAGCAAACACTAAACTCAGCCAGGGAAATACACCTTTATCATAAACCTCAAAAATGTCCCACAAATAATTTTCCCAGAAAACAGCTTACAGTCAAAAATAGCTACACACACAAGAAAGGCACCATAAGCAAGAAGCAAGAGAAACAGCAAAAGTGGACCAGGATCCAACCAATATTCCGTGACGAAATCCCTCAGTGGTCTTCAAAGTCAAGCACAAGAGTTTGGACTGGAAGCAGAAAGTCACTTTAAGCTCTTGAGCCCTGCAGTTACGTAACAGAAACGGTATTGTGTGAAGGCAACTTTGGCTCTGGTATAAGGATTAGGTGAGAGGAGGTGGAAAAGCTCAAAAAAAGTGAGTAAGAGCTTAGACTAGCTTAATGGAAGTGTGTAAGGAGAGAAAAACCATATTCCAAAGACACATATTGAAGGATGAAACAAAAGGATTTTGTGACCGATATCAAAATTACCAAATAAACATTTACTAAATGACTATTATAGACAGTTACTCAGTAAAAAGCATGACCATATATTCCACGGAACAACCCAGCAACCTAGAAGCCATTCTTCACAGCTCTAGCCTCATCACATATCACAAAATCCTTTGCATTCATTACTAATTCCACCTTTTTCCATTTCTCTCACTAGCATCAGTCTTGCACGAACTACTGCACAGTCCCCCC